GGGAGTGTAAAATAGTTCAACCATTGTGGAAAGCAGTGTGGTGATTTCTCAATGAACTTAAACAGAAGTATCATTAGACCCAGCAATCCTATTATTGGGTATATACCCCAAAGAATATAAAGAATTCTACCATAAAGACACATGCACAAGTATGTTCATTACAGCACTATTCACAATAGCAAAATTATGGAATCAACCTAAGTGCCCATCAGTGTAGACTGAATAAAGAAAATGTGGTACATATATACCATGGAAGACTATGCAGCCATAAAAAAGCACAAGATCATGTCCTTTGCAGCAAAAATAATGGAGCTGGAGGCCATAACACTAAGAGAACTAATGTAGGAACAGAAAACCAAATACTGCATGTTCCCACTTATAAGTGGGAGCTATACATTGAGTACACAAGAAGGGAACAACAGACTCTGTGGCCTTCTCGAGGGTGGGAGGAGGGACAGGATTGAAAAACTACCTATCAGGTACTATCTTATTACCTGGGTGACAAAATAATCTGTGCACCAAACTCCTGTGACATATAATTTACCCATATAACAAGCTAGCACATGTTCTCCTGAACCTCAAATAAAGATTAAACAAATTTTCTCCTTATCTTTGGCTTATAGGAGTTTGACTGTGCTATGCTTATATGTGATTTTCTTCATATTTATTCTGCTTCAAGTTGTCTGTTCCCTTCTTATGTCTTATTCCACTTCTGATTTAAGTTTTAATTTATTTCCTTTTTCTTTTCTTTTTTTTTTTGAGACAGAGTCTCACTCTGTTGCTCAGGCTGGAGTGCAGCAGTACGATCTTGGCTCACTGCATCCTCTGCCTCCTGGGTTCAAGCGATTCTCATGCTTCAGCCTCTCTCATTCTCCTGAGTATCTGGGATCATAGGCATGTGCCACCATGCCAGCTAATTTTTATATTTTTTTTAGTAGAGACAGGGTTTCACCATGTTGGCCAGGCTTGTCTAGAACTCCTGGACTCAAGTGATCCGCCCGCCTTGGCCTCCCAAAGTGTTGGGATTACAGGTGTGAGCCACCACGCCAGGCCGTAAGTTTTAATTTCTGTTGCTTGGTCTTTTGTTTCTGATGTAGGGTGGCAATGCCTACAGTGCGTGAGGGGGTACGGTGTTAGGTATGATCTCCTCTGCCTCTTTTATTCCTTCATCCGTATTAATTACCATCCTACCCCTGGGTCTGAGTGCTCTAATCACCTCCTAAGTAGATGTCCAGTTAGGGTATAACCTGCCCATTCCTGGAGAATGCTATATCCCCACGTTGGTAATAGAGGAAGTAGATGTGCCCAGCCTTATGCCTGCACTACAATTTTGATGGAGTCTTAAGTTGAATCAAAATATATTCTGGTTATGGGAGGAATACATTTCAGACCATGCCATTATGAATTCTGAAGCATCAGAGAACTTGTGGGCAAGGCTGGTGGAGGAGGAATAGCTCCTAAGTGGTTCAGCTACTGATAAACCTAGTGGTCCCAGTAGAAAAATATGACCTAGGGATTCCAGGGGGCTGCCAAGTAGCCCCTTTTGTAATTTACGAAAGCCCATACAAGGTCTTGGGAATAGCCTGTGAGACTCATACAGCTTTCCTTCTCATCCCACATTGCCACTTATAGGCCAAACAGACCAGTGACAGGGCTTGTGAATCCTAAGAATTACTACCTTAGCTTTAGACCCATAAATCACCTTGAACTTGGAAATGGCCTTGTCCATTCTGCATTGACAGATGTTATTCCTAAGATGGCAGCATACCTAGCTCTAGACATTTACAGTTACCTTAGGCTCATACAGAAGATTTTTATTTTGAACATAAAAATGTCCACTGACCAGTACTTGGAATAGTGAGCAGAGTCGCAAAGCTCCACAAATGTGATCAGAGGCTGACACTTTTGTATGGGATGCTGCCAGGCAGTGCAGTGCCACCGCTAGTCGGCAGAACCCAGCCTCCGGTACTCACCGGCCTGGTTTCCATAGCCTTGCTTATGCTCACTTACAATATAAAGTCTACTTTCGCGACAACTGCTTGTTAGTTCCAGAAAGCTTTTATTTTAGTTAATTGTGTTCATTGGGAAAGCTGTTGTGCCCAGAAGCCAGGAAAAGCATTCAATGGAACTTTCAGGCCACTGTAGAGCAGGGAGATCTGGTGGCATGGGATGGGGACCCCTTCCTGCCCCTTCCTTCCTGCCGTGGGACTACCTGCAGTGGCGCCCAGCCCCAGCACCCTGCACAGTCTGGTAACTCTTCCCCTTTGGTAAATTTTCCCTTCAAGTGGGAGGAGGGCAGATTGGGAAAAAGCCTCAGCTGCTGCTTCTGCTGCTTAAAGCAGTCCAGACGATTAATGGGCAGCTCCAGCTGCTATCCTGAAAGTGAGACTGAAATCTTACACCCTTTTTCCTTATGTTAAAATTGATTTCGGCATACACTTCTGTAATTTTTGAGACAGTGCCCATCTGGAAGGTCAGGGAACATTTGCATACAGCAAAGGAGTTGTGTCACACAGGTTAGGACCAGGACAGCTCCAGGGCCTGGTACCTAGGAAGGCTAGCTCCTTCCTCCCTCCCTCCCTCCCTCCCTCCCTCCCTCCTTCCTTCCTTCCCTCCCTCCCTCCTTCCTTCCTTCCCTTTCTTTTTTCTTTCTTCTTTCTTTTTCTTTCTCTTTTTCTTTTCTTTCTTTCTTTCTTTTTTCTCTTTCTTTCTTTCTTCTTTCCTCTTCTTTCTTTCTTTTTCTTTCTTTCTTCTTTCTTTTTTTTTTCCTTTTTTTCTTTTTGAGACAAGATCTTACTCTATCACCCAGGCTGTAGTCCAGTGGTGTGATCATGGCTCACTGCAGCCTCGATCTCCTGGGCTCAAGTAACCATCCTGCTTCAGCCTCCTAAGTAGCTGGGACCACAGGTGTGTGCCACCATGCATGACTAATTTATTTAAAAATTTTTTTTGTAGAGATAGGGTCTTGCTATGTTACCAAGGCTGGTTGTGAACTTCTGGCTCAAGCGACCTCCCTGCCTCAGCCTCCCAAAGTGCTGAGACTACAGGCGTGAGCCAACCACACCCCGCCTGGAAAGGCTAGCTTCAGAAAAGCCTACTTATGGGCACCAGCTTTCCTCCAGAAGAGCATCTCCATGAGTATAAGTCTTCTCTGGGCAAACTCAAGGAATTCCTGACCCACCCTGACAGAGAGGGGGTAAGCGAGATGTCTGCCCTAATCCTGGGCCTTCAGACCAAAGATTCAGCTGGTGGCTAACATAAAACAAGCCTGCAGCACGTTCGACAGCACTTGTCTCAGATCTTCTTACCTAGCTTCTCCATTTCATTTCAGGCTCCACTCCTTCAAAACACTAGCTTCCAACCCTCTTTCCTATTCCAGTCTTGTAGGACTTCCTTGGATATGTCTCACGGTCATTGTATTTTTCTTCCTAGTTTTTGTTGCTTTAGATAACACCAGGCCACATTCAGCCCTAAAGGGACCCCTCCCTGCCTTGGCTTGTTTTGTCTTTGCTTTGTCATTGCCATCATCCAGGCCTGTCAGGGACACTCCACAGCAGGTGGTGGGACAGAGCGGGTGAGCTTACGCCAGGAAGGAACAAATGTATTTGCAATGACAATGAGCTAGGAGGAATGCTACCACCACCTTCCAGCCTCTCTTGAGCTGGGGGAGACTGAGCCACTTCCCCTCCAGGGTTTCACAGGCCACAGAGCACTGGGAGGAGGACCAGAGTTGAGTGCAGGAAGATGGTGACAAGGTATTCAGTAAGGACTCTGGTGTTCCAGGCTGGTTTGTATAGATACCATGGAACGTCCAGAAGGTAAGTTGGAAGCATGGCATAGCGGGTAAAGGAGAGCAAAGCCGAGAGTTGCTGAGCAAAGTCTTGCATTTAGGATGGGCAGCAGAACACAAGAGGAGGGGTGGCCTGGTGGGCATGGCTGGTGCAGGTGCATGGCAGGTGACACCTAAGGCCTAAAGAGGCAGGAGTCTGATGGCCTAAGTCTTCACCAGACAGCCCTGGTGGAAAGTTATCCTCAGCTGTGATTCGAGAATCTTGGAGCCTGTATTTGAGAGTTAGGAATGGAGAAGTATGAAGTATAGGATGAGACCACCCCTTGGAGGGTTTGCTTGGGTGAGTATGAGATGGTGTTGGGCCCCCTCGGGATATTCCTCTTTAATGGACTGGTCTGCAGTGTGTATGGCCCAGTGAAAGATGCTCCCTCATTGTACTTTAGAAAAAAAGAGGAGAAGCAATTTCAAGAAGGCCAAAGGCAAGAGGAATTTCCCTCCATATACATCCATAGAATAAAAGGTGACTTCAGGTTGGGCACGGTGGCTCACGCCTGTAATCCCAGCACTTTGGGAGGCCAAGGCAGGTGGATAACCCGAGGCCAGGAGTTTGAGTCCAGCCTGATCAACAGAGTGAAACCCCATCTCTACTAAAAATACAAAAACTTAGCTGGACCGTGGTGGTACACCTCTGTAATCCCAGCTACTCGGGAGGCTGAGGCATGAGAATCACTTGAAGCCAGTAGGCAGAGTTTGCAGTGAGCCGAGATTGCACCACTGTACTCCAGCATGGGTGACACCTTGTCTCAAAAAAAAAAAAAAAGAAAAAGAAAAAAAGGGTTACTTCAGTCCAGAAAAGCAATATTCTACCTTCAGGGTCATTCACCCTTGGTAGAATAGAGCCTGGAAATTTATCTGTACGGTTACTTTCCTAAGCAAATGAGCTGGGGGGTCTCTGAGGCAACTGACCTCCATCTTTTGTTTCTGTATATTTTAAAAGAGAAATCGATGATGGGTGCATCAAGCTCTCTCTTGTCCCCAGAGACATAGTTCAAGTATTCTTATTCAAGCATTTTTTGCTTTCAGGTTTTCTTGCCTAGAGGATTCTAAGACCTTTTGACTTTAGCTTGATTTTCTCAAGTTATCTCTCAAAATTTTTCAGTAACAAAGCTCCTTCTTCAGGCAGTAGTTTATAGAGGCCACAATACAGGAATCAGAAAAACTTAGGATTTTATTAGCATACATTTATTTTATAACTTCACATTTATAACATTTTACTTTGTATACTGTCAATAAATGACAATGAAACCATTTTCATAAATACAAAAGCACATGAAATTAGGGAGTCATGGTAACCACCGCATCACTTTGGTCGAACAGTATTAAAAATATAATTTAGAAAGATAAATGATCACAAGTGATACCTTTAAAAAAATGCTTTTCTTACAATCTCAGGCTATTCTTCAGTTAAACTGAACCACAATCAGAAAAAATAAGTAATTATTTAAAAGTCAAACCTCTCACAATTGTCAACAACTGCTGGAAGAGTCATCACAAATATAAAAAACAACAAGCACTCAAATTTACAATAAGAGCTGAAACGGTTTCTAACACCACGGTAGACTGGAAGTCAACTGGAAGCATATTAACTTGTGACCGCACAACTGTCAGGACAATAAAGAAAGCATGCATTGAATTGAGCAGACAGCAACATCATGAAAATCCTAAGCGCTTCAATGTATTGAGGGCTTTCCATGTTCCAGATGTCATGCAACGTGCTTTAAAAGCATTAAGTCATTTGTTCATAACAACCGTGTACTCTCATCTTCTTATTTTTCAGATGTGGAAACTGATGTCTAGAGAAGCTAAGCAATTTGCTTACAGTATGCACAAATCTACCACGAGACTACACATCAACTGTGTTGGAGCTTTGCCTAGCACATATAACTAAATGGTGCTCATCTGCACTGCACTCACACACTTATGTGATACACAGGTCTGACCTAAATACACAGGTCTGATCTAAACAGCCATGTGGTACTACCGCTTTTAAAATCTATGAACAATTAAAAGTTCAGATACGTACACAGACACCATAAAGGAAACTTTGCTCTAAGGGCTACACAAAATGAGCCCATCTGGAAATAAACGCAAACCTGGTGGTGAATGCTTCTGTGTTAAAATTTGGTTATCAGCCCATTTGAATCTAGCTGTTATTTACTAGAGATTTAAAGAGTTTAGGCCGGGCGTGGTGGCTCACACCTGTAATCCCAGCACTTTGGGAGGCTGAGGTGAGCGGATCACTTGAGGTCAGGAGTTTGAGACCAGCCTGGCCAACATGGCGAAACCCCGTTTCTACTAAAAATACAAAAATTAGTCGGGCATGGTGGCAGGCGCCTGTAATCCCAGCTACTTGGGAGGCTGAGGCATGAGAATCACTTGAACCTGGGAGGCAGAGGTTTCAGTGAGCTGAGATTGTGCCACTGTACTCCAGCCTGGGCGATAGAGCAAGACTCAGTCTCAAAATAATAATAATAACAATTAAAAAAAAAATAAAGAGTTTAAAATACATTTTGGAGATGGAACTACTGGAAAATCTCTGCAGAACTGCAGAGCACAATGTGAAAGTCATCAAGATGGTGGAGGGTGGACTAGTGTGAGTCAAAGTTCTGGGTTTCTGTCTAGGCTCCATTACTTCTTAGCATTTTGGTGTTGAGGAGACCACTTAACCCATCTGAGCTTCCGTTTCTTTCTCTTTATAAAGAGCAAAATTATACCACAACAGGGTGGCTGTATACATTCAGTGAGATATACATGAAACACCTTGCACACAGTAGGCCCTCAATAAATGTGAGTTCCTTTTCTCTCCTCTTTGTCCTCTGTTGCCACTAAAAATCTTCTGTAAGCAAACCAGCCTGCTCACTAAATCCAAACCTGCCCTAAACACCTCTGCTCTTGAGCATGCTGTCCCCTTATGTCCCCCTTTCTCTGGGGACACCTCTCAGGCTGTGGACCTCTTGAAAGCAGAGCTTAGATTGAGTCATCTGTGTCTTCAGGGCCCGACACAGCACCTAGTTCTGGGACCATCTATCTGACACCTAGCAGAAAGGCAGGAAGAACACTTCCCAGGTTAAAACAACACAATAACGACAATATCAACAAAAACCTGCAAGCGGAGATGGTCCTATTCACTGGGTGATGACACTTTTATTGGGGTGATGAACTTAATTCACACAAAGGATTAGTTAGCCTTTTACCTGTCTAGATCATCTCCTCATCTAGACTGGAACCTGTCTGAGGGCAGGGCCCATTTTGTTGGTTTATAACTGCTCAACTGTAGGTTATAGCTGTAGTCTTGTAACTCCTTGAACTGTGTCTCACAAAGCCAGGTACTCAGGGAGAATTTGCTGATTTAAGGAAGCGAAACACCTGACAAGTCAAACAGCTTTATTTTTCAAACATATTACAAAAGGCATTTTTTTTTTTTTTGACTGCCAATTCTTTCTTCTATGGTATGGGCCAATTCTGGTCTACTTGGGATTATGTAAAGAAAATTGGAAGTACAAGTGTTTCAGATTCCTTCAGGCTTACTATCTAATATTTGGAGTTTAATCTTTTGTTCATTAATAATCTACAAAGGGTCTAAGAAACTCCTAGATATTTTTTCTTAAAAAGAAAAATCAAGGGCCAGGCATGGTGGTTCATGCCTATAATCCCAGCACTTCGGGAGGCCGAGTTGGGCACATCATTTGAGCCTAGGAGTTCCAGACCAGCCTGAGCAACACAAAACCCTGTCTCTACCAAGAAACAAAAGAATAGCTAGGCGTGGTGGTCCATGCCTGTAGTCCCAGGTACTTGGGAGGCTAAGGTGTGAGGATCACCTGAGCCTGAGCCTGGGAAGTCAAGGCTGCAGTGAGCCACTGCACTCCAGCCTGGGTGATGAGAGTGAGACCCACGAAATAAAGAAGAAAGAGAAAAAGAAAAATAGGAAGGAAGGCAGGAAGGAAGGAAGGAAGGAAGGAAGGAAGGAAGGAAGGAAGGAAGGAGAGAAGGAGAGGAGAGAAGGAGAGAGGGAGGGAGGGAGGGAGGGAGGCAGGGAAGGAAGGGAGGGAGGGAGGAAGGAAGGAAGGAAGGAACGAAGGAAGGAAGGAAGGAAAGGAAGGTCAATAATTGGCTGTCATGCTTTGATTTTAGTCCCAAACATTAAAAAAAAAAAAATTTAAAGGTCTTAGCCTAGTAAAGTGAATGTCCCTAGGCCCACTGGCTATGGGTCCTGCCCCCAGGTGGTTTTCAGTCGTCCCCTTCATGATTCCAGCCGCCATAGCCATCTCCTTCCTCTGGCTCTTCGATACTCTCATTCTCAAAGGAGGCCTCTTCCTCCTCTTCTTCCCGTATTACCTTCATTAGCTCAAGGAAGTTGGGGGGCGGGCCCTGATCCTTCAGCTCCCTAAGCCGGCACCACAGCATCTGGTTAAGAGTGGCCCCAGCCATGACCTGCTCCAGGCGGACCTGGTCCGCAATACGCCGAGGGATGGCGCGTTTCTCCACGGCTCTTCGGAGCAGGGTTTCTAACCGTAACACATAGGCTGAGACCTTCTCTCCTTCCTCCTGATAGGTCTTCAGATACCTCACCTGGGCTGTCCTGCGGCTCTCTAGGCTCCCAAACACCTGCTTAAAGGCCTCCAAACACTCTTCTACACTGATGGACGGGTTGTCTGCCTGCACTATGTGCATGAGGTCCAGGGCAGGGCCCCGCAGGCTTTCTGCCAGCCACCTTTTCTTTTCTGCCTCTGTTACTGGCCACTCTTTGACTATCTCCGTGGCCTGTTCCAACCAGACCTCAAAGGGCTCTTCCTCTGGGGCTGGGACAGCACTCCCAGAGAACACTCGCAGTTTCCGGTATCTCATAGGTAGCAGGGGCTGAGGCGCATGTGCCATTGCCTGTCCCAACAAATGGGCCAGTAATTCTGGTGAGATGCAGGGCACTGTGGCTGGAGACATGCCCTCGTGCCCCAGGGCTCGAAACATACCTGAGACCGTCTGCCCCTCTTTTTCTAGAAAGAGGTTCAGTCTTTCCAGAAACTCAGTGTCCTGATTAGGGGTCTTAAAGACCACCTTCCAGACACCCCCCTTTCCCTGGACCTCACTGGGAATGGCCGAGACATCAGTATCTTCCAGAAGCTCTAGTAAGACAGCATTGGCATTCTCCTGCTTCCGGAATATCTTGCCAAGCAGTCTATAACTGCCCAGAGACTTTAAAGTCTCCTGAAGGACCTCCTGAATCTCAGCCTCCTCATAGTCCACCGGTATCCCCGTAACCATCAGTGACTTCTGCTCATCCACACTCATTATCCTGCACCAGTCCTCTAACAGCGCCAGCGCCATTGTCCCAAGAACTGACCCGCTCTGACTCTACAGTCACCAATTTGTTAGTGGGGCAGCTATGCACTGACTTAGTATTGAAAATATCCTGAATGAGCGTCTAACCTTAGAACCCACCAGTGAATGGGTCCCAGACTAGGTCACTCAAAGACAGTCTCAAAGTTTTCTGGACAAATGACCCTGGCCTCCTCAGTGGCAAGAACTCAGGACTTCTTGTCTTTAGACCTGACCCAGGTGGGCAGGTTGTATCTCAGTTCTAACCACACCTCTGTCCGCAGCTCTGAAGTTTGGTTGCGGATGATTTTCTCAAAGATGCTGGCAGCCACGTGGCGCTGACCCTTCTGGGATAGTTGAGGCACCTGGGTCAACTGCTTTCTCCACAGCCTCCTGGTCTCCGATGTTTCGTCTCTCTCCAGTTGGTGGGAAAATGCCTTCCACTCTGGTACCCAGAATTCTTGGAGAGAAGCCTCCCAGCAGGGTGGCTTGGAACCCTGGTGAAACAATGTTCAGTTTTACTACATAGTGCTCTCTTTCCCTGGAAGCATCCATACTCTAGTCTGGAATGGAACTGGGGGCAGATAGGGGTTCTGCTTCACACTGTGCTTGCATTCATCCCACTCTTGTCACACCCCTTGTTTGCTTACTGTGACTTTTTTTCTCCTGAGGACTCCAGTGAAATCTGGCGTTCCCACCATATGCTCATCAGACCTGTTGATTAATGTCTGAGCCCCAGTTAAGGACAGGATTCAAGGTCTTTGCCATGTGAAAGATGAAATCAGGAGATGGGGCTAAATACCTGTTTATGTGTTCCCAAGTGTTCCGCAAGAGGTGAGGAGCTTATTTATTCATTCACCTTTTAGCACAGGAAGACGTCACCCACCTCCACACAATGGTGTGTCTGGCTCTTAGCTCCAGCCAAGCCAAGCTGCCCTGTTACACATAAATAAGAAGAACAGGTATTTATGCTTCATTAATATTCAGCAGGAAGACTGTTAATGCGCTTATTCAAAAATAGGACAATCTTTCACAATACTACTCAGTATTAAGTTGCTTTACCTCTTTGATTAACAAAACTAATTAGGAATCACTCAAACGTTTAAAAATAGTTTAATCTAGGTATAACAGTTCGGGGGAAAAAAACCTCAGGGCCGACTAAGTTAAATTGGGAATTATGAATTAATTCTCTCTTGTTGTCTCTGGAAGGTTTTGCAAACACACATTTGGGCTTTGCTTTTGCTATGAACAGTAAGTGAAATAGTTTGAATGTTTGTCCCCTCCAAATCTCATGGTGAAATGTGATCCCCAGTGTTGGAGGTGGGGCCTGGTGGGATGTGTTTGTGTCATGAGAGTGGATCCCTTATGAATGGCCTGGTGCCATTCTTGGGGTAATGAGTGGGTTCTTGTTCTATTAGTTTCCTCGAGATCTGATTGTTAAAAACAGACTGGCACCTCCCTCCCCTCACTCTTGCTCCCTTTCTTGCCACATCTGCTCCCCCTTTGCCTTCTGCTATGACTAGAAGCTTCCTGAGGGGTCACCAGACGCAGATGCCAGCACCATACTTCTTGTACAGCCTGCCGAACTGTGACCCAAATAAGCCTCTTTATAAATTATCCAGCCTCAGGTATTCCTTTATAGAAACACAAAATAGACTTAAGACAGTAAGTTACTAACACAACACTCCCCAAGCATTTGTTTCTGTTTCTGTTTTTTGAGACAGGGTCTCACTCTGTTGCCTAGGCTGGAATGCAGTTGTGTAAACACGGCTCACTGTAGCCTTGACCTCTCCTGGGCTCAAGCAATCCTTCCACCTCAACCTCCTGACTACCTGGGACCACAGGCACATGCCACCATGCCTGGCTAGTTTTTAAATTTTGCATAGAGATGGAGTCTCCCTACGTTGTCCAGCCTGGTCTCAAACTCCTGGGTTCAAGCAATCATCCCACCACAGCCTCTCACAGTGCTGAATTATACACATCAACCACCACAACCAGCCTTTCTTAACATTTGAACTTTAACCCATCATTTGAGAAAAAAGAAAAAAGGAGGAAGCACATCTATCAAGGAGTTTGTTCTGGAGAACATGTGGGGATTAGAGAACATAAAAAAGTTAGAGTTGTCCAGGCTCGGTGACTCACGCCTGTAATCCCAGCACTTTGGGAAGCCGAGGTGGGTAGATCACCTGAGGTCAGGAGTTTGAAACCAGCCTGGCCAACGTGGCGAAACGCTGTCTCTACTAAAAATACATAATTTAGCTGGGTGTGGTGGTGCGCGCCTGTAATCCCAGCTACTTGGGAGGCTGAGGCAGGAGAATCACTTGAACCTGGGAGGTGGAAGCTGCAGTGAGCCGAGATCGTACCACTGCACTCTAACCTGAGTAACAGAACGAGACTCTGTCTCGAAAAAAAAAAAAAAAAGTTAGAGTTCCTAATACCTCCCAGTTACTGCTGCGGAGTATGTGTTAAGGGGCTACAACCATTTCCCCCTTGGCCTAAACATCTTCATCAACTCGAATGGGGGCCATACACCACAGTGCTGTCCTGTAACTCTATCAGCAGTGCTCCTGCTGTGGGCACATCTCCTGAGTCTTCTAGGAGGTGCTGAAGGCACCAGCGGTGCCAGAGAGCCAGGAGGGCAAAATACTGCTTCACCCTGTGCCCAGGAGTCTCACAGACCTGAGACTGCTGACTTCTCCATGCCTGACATTTCCTTTCTAAAATGTGGGGGCTGTGGGGGAGGGGCAGGTACAGTGGCTCACACCTGTAAACCTAGCACTTTGGGAGGCCAAGGCGGGAGGATCACTTGAGCCCGGGAGTTTGAGACCAGCCTGGGCAACACCGTGAGACCCTGTCTCTACAAAAAGGAAAATAAAAAAATTAGCTGGGCGTGTGGCAGTCGCCTGTAGTCCCAACTACTTGGGAGGCTGAGGAGGGAGCCGAGCAGATAAAGGCTACAGTAAGCTGCGTTTGCACCATTGCATTCCAGCCTAGGTGACAGTGTGAGACTCTGTCTGAAAACAAAAACAAAAATAAAAAAACAACTGGGGGCAACCTTCCTCCCCACTGGGATATTTAGAGGAAACAGGGAATGTAAAAAGATACTGCCCAGGAAAAAGCATCTCTACGGTCTACAGAATGACTGCCATGCTGAAGTTAGGCTGTCTTCGGATGACTCTTCCTGCCAATGTGACCTGCAGTGTGACATTCGAATAAAAACATGGCAAAAAAACACCCTTGATATACAATAGGGCCATGGATGGAAATATCTGGATACGGTAGAAATAGAAGAACCTTGTATTTTCTCACATAAAGGGGGTCACAGGACAAGCTGGAAAAGAAGCCAGACTTTGAGGTGGAAGCCCTCACTGGAATTGTTGGATCATTTAACTAAATACCCAACCTTGGCGATGCGCCCCAAGCTCTCTTAATCTGTTTCTTAACCTGGAAAGCAGTGCTGATAAGGCACGCATCTCAGAGGGGCTGTGAGGAGGAAATGATATAATTCATTTCCTTGGAATGAAGAAGGAAGCGCTTTTTTCAAATGCTTTATTCAAATGCAAAGCACATCTGGCGCTAAGTCCAAAATGCGCCCTCGGGTTCTCTCAGCCCCTCCACTCCTATATTCTTCCTCAGTCTCTCTTTCTCATCCGGAGACGCCTTTCCACCTATCACGGTGGGCTGATCTTCAAACTGCGACTGGTTGTCAACCAGATGTAACTCTATTCACCAAACTATCTCTCACAATTGGATGGTGGGGGTGGTTGGTAACCGCATTTAATCCTGGGCTGACAATGGGATTGGATTCCTGGTTACACGGCCCTGCGCGGTCGCCCTGCGGTAAATGGCCTCTCAGCCCAAACCCACCCTGGTTTACTGAGCATGCCCAGACCTCCCTCCCGGGCCACCAAAGGAGGGGCACCATTTCTGCAGGATTTTGCCACTGTGGAAAGAGAGGCGGAGCTGTCATCGCGCAGAGGCAGGGACTGATACGCGGAAAGGACGTGGAGATGGGAATAAGTAATGAAGGACCCGCATTGACCGTGTTAGCACACAAATCTAATTGCCCTCTGGTGCAAACTTACCACCCTGTGGCCGTGGCTCAGCTACCTGCACACACACACCAAGTTCCTACACACCTTTCCCCCGCTTGGCCCCACACAATTCATGGCACTCACAGCCCACATCCTACCTCCTTCTCCGCACCAGATACGCACCCGCACTCACTCCCCAAACACGTGGCATCTGGTAACCTGGGAAACGCCGCGGCTGTGGCGCAGTGCGCAACAGGGGCGGGGGAATCAGGCGGGGCACTGGGGCGAGGGAAGCTGGAGATTTGGGGAGGGGGTTTCTATTTGTTTTTTCGCCCACTTTTTGTTTTTTGTTTTTTTGGTGGGGGAAGCAGAATAAACCAAACCGCGACACGTTCCTGCGCCCTTCTTGGTGCAGTGGCGCAGACATGGTCCATGGCGCCTTGGGCAATAGAGCAGGTCTGCACCCCCTCTCTAAGTCGTGGCACTGGGCTGGAATTCCCGACTGCACCCTTTGCTACACCCCCATAGACCACAGACCTGCGTCTCTCTCTATGTTCCTCTCCCATCTGCTACGCCCCTCTGCATTTCTTCCCGCCATGTTGTGTGTCCCCCAACTCCCCCGTCACCCCAACCACACCAAAGTGGATGCACGAAGCGGGAACCTTCTCGTTTCAGTCTCTGCTCCGTGCAGCCTGCCAAGGCGAGTGGGCAAACTGAAGCTTGGGTGTCCAGCGCCTTGGCTGCCCCCCTCCTGTCCACCCTGCGTGTGCTACCCCTTGTTCATCTTCAGTGTCAACCCCCTTCTCATACCCTGAGTAGCCTGGCGCATGGCTTGTCCCCTTTTCCCATCCATCAGCTCACACCCAGGGTAACGGGGCGGGAGCCCTATCCGCAGTGCGCCCTCGCCCCCGGCCCACCTCCGCCATGCGACGGGACAGAGGCGCCTGGACCAGGCAGGTGGAGGAGAGGGGCACTGGGGCAGAAGGCTGCGCCCTCGGGTCCTCACTCCGCGTGCCCTGCCCAATACTTACCCAGGCGCGGAGAGCGGTCAGCAGGCCCTCCGCTCCGCATCCATTAGCTGGTGGTCTGGCCGCTTCACTTCCGGAGCGCGGGGCTAGGGGCGGTGCCGCCCTCCCCTCTCTCTCTCCTTCCCTCCCCTCCAGCCCTCCCCTGCGCGCTGCTCCCCTCCCCGGCGCCGCGCCCCACCCGCGCCTCCCTCCTCCCCGCGCTGCCGGGAACTGGCAGCCTCTCGGCTCCCGCAGCCGCCGCGGACGCCCTCCCAGATCCAACTTTGCCGCTTCCCCGAGCTGGCGCTGTAGCCGCGGGGGGCGTGGGCAGGGAGGGGAGAAGCGGGGTCAGGGGGAGGGACCGGGAGGGTGGGTCGCCGGCTCGCCAGCCCTCCTTCCTTTCTGTGCACCTTGCGGTGGGCGGCGAGCGGCAGCCGCGGCAGCAGCTAGGGGGCTTGTGCACACAGCAAGGGAGAGTTAGGGACTGGCAGACGGACGGACGGACGGCGAGGACCCTCCCTGAGCCCCCGAGCCATGGCCGAGAGAAAGCAATCCGGGAAGGCGGCAGAGGACGAAGAGGTCCCTGCCTTTTTTAAAAACCTGGGCTCCGGCAGCCCCAAGCCCCGGCAGAAATTCTGTGGCATGTTCTGCCCGGTGGAAGGGTCCTCGGAGAACAAGACCATCGACTTCGACTCGCTGTCGGTGGGCCGGGGCTCGGGGCAAGTGGTGGCTCAGCAGCGGGACGTCGCCCACTTGGGTCCGGACCCGCAGCCGCCGTACTCGCGGCAGGGCCGGCGCGCCGGCGGGGAGCCATCTGTTGAATCGAGCCGGAAGGTGGAGATCCGGAGGGCCTCGGGCAAGGAAGCCCTGCAGAACATCTACGACCAGGTCGGTGTGGGGGTGGGGGGTGGAGACGGAGGACGGGGCTCGGGGATCGCCCCTCCCTCGCCCCTGAGCCCGGCGCGCCCGCCTTCATGCCCCGCCCTGTACCTCGCCTCCCGCATCTGCACGCGCACCCCGCCCTACCCGCCCCTTCTCCGCGCAGGGTGCGGCGAGGCTCGGGCTGGGCGGTGGGCGACCGTGAGCCCACAAAGGCTGCCCGAGTCTCCTTGAGCTTGGGAGGTGGGGGGTGGGCGTAGGGGATGGGCTGATCACTTGCTGGGGCGGGCGGTGGTCGCCTGGGAGGGGGTTGGCCGAGGTTCCATTCTTCTGAAATCCTCCCGGGCGGCTTCCGATGGCAGCTGCGACTGGGTGCCCCACCCTTTTTTTGAGGCGGCTCGGAGCGTGCGGTAGAGGCTTTGCGTGAAGGCCCGCGGCTCCCCGGTGGTCGGGAGGGGTGGGGGTTCCGACGGCCGCTCCCCGCAGCCTCTGCCGGCGCCTTCTGCGCTCACGTCCTGAGCTCCGAGGCCAGGACCATGGTCAGCGCCCCCCGGACCGCCTCAGAGCACCGCACCGCCCTTGACTCCTGCTCGCAGCTTGAGAAGAGCCAGGGAGGCCGTGGAGTCGCCCGAGGAAACCGAGACGCTCCTAAATAGCCTATGTGGGGAACAAGTTCCAATAAGTGTCTCAGCCAGGGCTTCACGGAGCTCTCCCCAAACCGCTATGTGGGAGGCGCTTTAGGAACCGGGGAACTAAGTGGATTATGTTCAAAGGGTCAAAAAGACGAGAAAAGGGGGAAAACCCCTCGCATTCGAAATAGACTATCGAAGAAGACTAAACCCCCTCTTCCTGTGTTAATGGGGGAAACAAAGGCCGTTTTGGTCACTCTTGATTTTAAAAAATGTTTGTCACTTTCTGACAAATATGAACAGTGAGCATTTTCAGCGCAGTAATAATCTCACACCACAATTCTCTCTTTATCTGAGTGATCCTTACACTAGTGTAATTCTTTTCCACAGCCTTAATTTCTTAACTGATAATTTACAATGCAAAATGTTTTAACACGTTTTCTGTTTCTCTCCCATGTCTGGTGGTAAAAATGAGAAGTCAATCAATGAATGATTATTGATTGAATACCTATCGTGCGCCTTGCCTTGTAGGGCAGGGGGAAGGTTAGTTATACAAAGTGCAAGAGGTTTCTTCTTCTCAGAAGGCTTCCAGAGTAGTTGGGAGTGGTCTATAAATATTCAGTGAGGGATCCCACAAGCATTTACATTTGTGTACTTACAGTGACAGCCTTTGAGAACAATGCAGAGTTGGTGATGATGGTTGGGGCATGATGTGACTGTTTGCTGATGTGACATAGAGTTTTGACTTTTGTAGGGTCAAGTCTAGGAAATATAAGCCACTTGCAGTCATGTGTAAAAGGTGTCACAACTAATAATTTATATCCACCCCCAGCCCTGCCCTCTAATTTGTTCATGTAAGGGAGTGTCTCATATCCATATTTCACTATGAGTCAACCAGAAGAACCTAAACCCAAAAAAACTTGCTTTGTTCCAAGTGATCAGACAATTGAAGTAAAAGTTTCTAATAATTTAACTTATACTGAAAGCTGAGTGTGTGTGAAACACTTCCCTATGTGAATACATTGGGTGAGGGCCAAAATCATACAGCATCATGGTTGAGTGAGTAGCCTCATGCATGGCGAGTTGTGCTGGTGATTCTAATGTCCTAGACAAAGCAGAAAAAACAACTGGAGAATAAAAAAGAGATCATGTAAAAAATGGCAGATCAGAGGATAGGGGTTGAAAGTGGCCACCCCTATCATGATAGCAGTGAATTAAAACTCAAGTTTGAAAGGCATAGTTTCATCGGGTTGAATAACACTTCTTTTTTCTTGGCCATTTGGACTCTTAGATGTTTGAAATTCTAAATTGTAAATCTAAGGCACACAGAGGGGGAGATTTGAAGAGAAAAATACGCAAACGAACCACCAGGCAATTTTAGATTGCAATCCACATTGGCTTCAGTTGCCCAGTTATTACTAACAGAGGGCAATTCTAGCTTGGCCTTTCTGCAGCACCTTCCCCTGAATTTTCATGTTTAATCTTGCCTTATCATATAAGGTCTATTCAATGGGATTTTGTCATTCATGACTAAGAGCATTTATCTGGGTCAGTACTTGCAATGTTTCAATATTTCATGTCTGTACAAAAGGGGAAAGGCTGTGGCTATACATGTGTTTATATTTATAACAATAGCGACTTCTGAAAAGCTCAACTGGCCCACCGTTTTGACTGAGTTGACTTGTCATTAGTTAGTTTTCAATGAATGAGCCGGGTGAGTGCCAGCATCTCCATGCATTCTAATTGGAAGCCCTGGCGCAGAGAAAGGTAGGGGAGATTGAGAGTGGGTGGATCCTGGGACCCTGACTCACACCATCCCTCCTCTCTTGCAGCTTTATTTGTGTGTTATTAGTGTATGGTCAGACGTGGCTTTGCTCAGCTGTTGCACTAAGAGGCCTGCTGTTCCCCTAGCAAGGCTTTGGGAAGGGAGAGAACAGGCTTCCTTGACCCACATGCCACATAGCTCATGGAAGATTAGAGATGTTGGACATGTGCATTTGCAGGAACTAAATGAAATTATGTTCAGAGTGTGAGCCAGACAGCACCAGAAAGCGATGGGTGTGGCTTGACTTGGCATGTCAGATTTTGGCAGAGAGAAAGAGCTGGTATAGTGATTGTGAATGAGGAAAGCGTCTATCCTGTTATTCTCTTTTCCCTATAAGTCCACTTTGGGCTGCAGTGAGGTTACATTGATCACCACTGTGAAAGACTCTGAACCTCTTGGAAGAGAGAGAAGAAGGGCATCTCTGTTGGCCCAATCCTCCCTTGTCAGTGCCCAGGGGTCCTTCAGCCTCTTCCCTTCCTCCTAGGAACTCCCTCCATTTCACCCCAGACACAGTGTAGTGAGAATCAGTGGCTCCACCTGGGATACTGGACCATAACAATGCTTTCCAAAGGGGCCTCTAGGCCCTTTTCCCAGCAGTAAACAACCTATACAGGCTGGGAGTGATTCTCTTCCTCTCCAGGGCAGGTGCCACTGAGTGAACTGCACAGTGCTGCTGAGCTTGACAACGTCAATGAGTCTGTGAAGTGCTTTCTGGTGCTCCCTTCCATCTGGGTCCCCATCCCTTCTCCCTGTGTTGAGTCTTTTCTGGCCCTGGGAGCCTAGTGCAGTGCTGCCCTCTAACTGTTCAACATCATCCCCACTCCATCCCCATAGGATGCCCATTCTAGACCTTTCTTCTTCCAAAGGACAACAGGTTCTAAAATCACTCTTTGGCTGCCCTTCTCCCATTCAGAATTCTTAACTTGCATTAATCTTAGTTAAAGAGAAATTCCAATGATTAAAGCCATCTGCTCCTCAGGCGAATGACTGATGCCCAAGTTGTCCCCAGAGATCCGTGGTTTGGTAACAGACTAGACTATTAAACAAAACGAATGCGTAGTTAGTGGGGTGTGTGGTGGAGATTTGGAATAAAGGCAATACCTTGATACTTTACAGGTCATATTTGGTTCGAAACAGGAGATATGAGCATTTGTGTGTTCAAGATTCCAAAAAACCTAAGACCCACCTGGGTTCAAAAGGAGGAAAGTAGAGGTGGGGAGTACTTGGAGAGGGGAAGGAAATGATGAAAATCCATAATTATTGTTTGCTCTTGATTTCCCAGCTGATTATTTAACTAATCATATAATTAGTTAAATTTAAAAATAATTTTTATATAACATAAAATTTGCCACCTTAACCATTTTTAAGTGTACAGTCCAGTGGTGTTAAGTGTATTCACATTGTTGTGCAACCAATCTCCAGAACTTTTTCATCCCCCCAAGCTGAAGCTCTGTACCCATTAAACACCAGCTTCTCATTCCACCTCTTCCCAGCCCCTGGCAACCACCATTCTCTTTTCTGTCTTTGCCAGCTTGACTACTCTAGATTCCTCATATAAGTGAAATGACACTGTTTATGTTCTTTGTGACTGGCTTATTTCACTTAGCATAATGCCCTTAAGGTTCATCTATGTTGTAATATGTGGCAGCATTTCCTTCCTTTTTATGGCTGAATAATATTTGTATAATTAGTTAAATTATAACAAGTCTTTAATGATTTAAAAAGTTGTTGCTCAATTAATTGGCCTGCAATAATTAATTGTGGGAGGAAGGAAGAAGGATTAGATTTGGGATGAAATAGGCTTCCCCAGGTCTGGG